ACAGTCCCCTAATTTACCGACATACTTGATGTTGAAGGAGAAGTGAAGAGAGAATTTTCTTTACACAAAATGAGTTTAACACTCGCTTCGGCTCTTAAGGGACTCAAATCAATTGAGTTTTTCTTGAGGAATAAGAAGGAAAAATTTAGGATTTGAAAGATTTTTTTGTAGATGATTCGAAGTAGATTTTCAACAAATTTGTTATTTAATGTGGTGAAGAAGTAAATGGGTTGATTTTGGTGAAAAAACAGTGAAGGTCAAGTTCCAGTGAAGATTTGTGCAAAATAGTTTTCGGTGGGAAGGCAGGGGCGTTTTGCAGTGTGGGATGGTGGTGACAGTTGTTCGTGCGAAACCCGCAAGCATACGAAATCGTTGACAAGTAATAAAATTGATGAGTTAAGAGTATCGTCTAACAATGAATAAATTCAATTCATGTTTACTAGTTTTGTAAGGAATTCAAATTATGTGAATAAAATAGATTTGATCTTTATGATTATTCTAAATTGATCTAAGAAATATATAAAAATAATATTTTTTTATCAAATTATGAATGATTGTATTGGATTTTGAATTCGCCCATTGTTATTTAATTCAATTCTTGATTTATAATCTAATTTCGTTCATGTTTTCTTGACAATCGATAAAATTATGATATATAGTTTTCTTTTTCAAGACAAATTAAGTTTATCCTAATCACGACCCAAATCTATTCTAATTCGAATTCGAATGATTATAATGCATTAAAGTTTAGATTATCTATATGATTGCATGTGCGATAAATGTTATTCATAACATCTATTGCACATATGTTAATTTTACCTCATTTTAAACTTATTGTGAATCTCTTAACACTACAACACTAATTATCTAATGGTGGCCAATCAATTAAATAATATAATGAGTACGTAAAATTAATCAACAAATGCAAGAAATAAACTAAACTACTAGTTTTGAATTAAAACAAATAACAAAGTGTTCATCTTCATATAATACGAAAACGGATATAGCCTAGCATGCTTTTAAATAAATTACAAGAAAAATAATCACTTGGATCATGAAGAATTCAATTCTTCAAAATCTTGATATAATTGGCTTAAGTTCCTTGCTAGGGCTTGATCTTCTCTCACAAAAGTGATGAATTGGCCTCTTGTTCTTAATAAATTTGATGATATTATTGTATATTAGGTAACAGAGGGTTTTTTTTTAAATGTGTAGCCCTTGTTTAATATTTATAAAAGCTCAAAAAATACGTCAAAATCGCGTCAAATTTGAGTTCTAAAGAGTTTGAATCGCGAGAGGAAATTAAATTGCCCACGCGCGCACAGATATAACCACCATCGTTGAGTAGTTTTGCTCTCGGTAATTAAAATTTCAGTCTTGCCAGCGCGCCAAAAATGGCCCACGTGTGCGCAGGTAGTGGAGTTCGTCCCTGAACATCTTTCGGTATTTTGATCATAACTTTCTCCCTAATATCGATTGAGGTGATCCAAAGTGCGTTAAAAAGATAACTCAAAGGTTTACTATCCGAAAACCGGGTCAAACGTTTACTCAAAGGATACAATTCTTCTAGAAATACAATTTTTCCAATTCAAACGTTTATTATCCGAAAACTGGGTCTTAAGTTGATGTTAAAAATTCGGAGTATAATTTTTTCGGTTGGAAATTGATTTGAAAAAAAAAATTCAAATATATTTCAATCATTTGACCCCCGATTGCATCTATTGATCATATGTGATCTTCAATCATAATTTTGAAGTCCAAATCAACTATTGGATGTTTACACTTTGATCCCCAAACTTTATATTTCATTTGTTTTTGTTCATTTTCGTTCCCTTTTTCCAATTCCACCAATTTACATTAAGTTCAGCCTAACAAACATAATTAACACATAGTTAAACTATAGCTCATCCAAACCACTAACAAATACTTCAATTTAATTGCATAGATAAGTGTACAAAATACATTTATCAAATACTGTTGCTTTTTTTTTTTATATCGCAAGTGTACGATATTGTAAAAGCAGTATAATGGACCTTTGTGTCAGGATATCGTTCCCACGAAGACTATATTTTAGGACTTCATCAATTTTTTCCGACTTCTATTTGATAAAAGCAAGCAAATAATTATGATGATTGTGATTATTTTTCCTAACTACTTTTAACTAATTGAAAATATAAAAAGATCGCAAAAAATGGTTGATTGAAGATTCAAATATGTGACGAATATTAGGGTATAACAATTTCATGTATTGATCACCTTAAATTATAATTCAAGATTCATAACCTATTGTAGTGTTCGATCGAATTTTTCCATTGTATTCAATTTTCTCTTCTCGAGTTCTAATTGAGTCTATTTAACTAATTAAATTTCATATCTCTATGTGAATAAACCGTAGTTACACGAAATACTAGTTCCAAGAATTCATATATAACCGCAATAATTAGTATATGTATCTCTACACGTTATACTAATTTACCGAATTTTACTATATGGTCTAAATTTTAAACTCACATTTCGATTCGTAAGATACTCACATAATCATCAAATTAGTTATCAACTAATTCAATGCATTAAATTTATAGTAAAACCAACACATATAAAAATAAATTGCATAAATCTTGACTAAAAAATAAAAGATCACAAGTCGACTATATTGTTTTCCCTAATATAAAAATTAGTTATTCATACTGTAAAAATAAAAACACACAAAAGTGAAACAACATCACCAAAAATTGACAAAACGTGAAATTTCTCGTGTCCGCCTT